ATATTCTACAATTTCAATTGAATTGTTTTCTACTCCGTATATTTTGCAAGGTTTTTTATTTAACCTCAAATTTACATTTTGAATAAATTTTGAAAGTAAATTAAGATCCAATAATATTAATTGATATTCGGAAAGCTTTATTCAATGTTTCGAATTTTCTTCTTAGAAATTCTTACGTATTCTTGAAAACAAGATTCTTCTGAATTTGAAATCCAGATGACTCGGTCTCTTTGTTGCGTGAGGAAGGTGGCTAAACTCGTATTGCATCAAATTTATTTAAAACAAAAGGAATGTATCCTCCGCTTCTGACGTCATCATTCAGTGTACTTCGTCACACATAAATCCGGCTGAACAGCAGCCTCTTGAAGAGACGGTGCCCTACACGGTGCACCTCTCCTTTGAGCGGCCAAACTGAGAACTGTGTACCTGTTCGAGGTATACCGAACCATCTAATCTGGTCTAACATTATACGTGGGAAATTCACGATGCCTACCAATGAACAATCCAATGCACTGATGGCCTTAGGGCGCCGCCACCTACTGGACATTAGACAAGATACGGCCAATACAGTCCCTATCCCGTTACGCGGTTGCTGTCTTTTGAGAGCTACTAATAATTAACAGTTTCTTACCTTTCTTGACTCTTGGAAGAAAAGTGGAAATATTACATATTACATACTTTACTGTTCAATCCGTCGCAAGTGACTTGAAACAATTGGAAAGTTTTCGTCGCAGTTTCGAGTCAAAAATACTTTCTCTATTTGCGTACTTACCTATCGAAAGTCCTCTCTCGAAATTCCCTCGCCCATGTACGTTAATGCTGGTCATTCCGAAAACGTGGGAAATTTGAGTGGACGTGGAAGCGCCGTTGGGCAACGGCGCTCGAGCTCCCGTTCGAGTCGCCTCGAAGGAACTTCCCTTCGCTGCGTGTCTAGAAAATAATTATTTTATTCGTTCAAGTCGCACCTGTAACCGCTTACGTTTGACATTGTTCCTCGTGCGCTGCACTTTTAAAAGTTGCTAGCCCGAGAAACTCGACTCGAAGAACAGGAGCCTAATCGAGTGAATTATGGTGGGCAAAGTGAGTCTTTGAAAATGCCGAAATACCTAATGCTCACAATCAGCGGTTTATCATGTCCAAGACGTCCAAGCAGGAGCGACACTAGGGAATCCGCGTGCATAAGGATGAATAGGAAGGATGCGGTTGGTTAGAGGGAGCAGGGGGGAGGGAGGCCAAGTTCGCACGTGAGAGTCTCCCAGGTCGCGGATTCTATAATTCATCTCATAGAAGCATCTTCGCCTCTCGCAAGTCACGAAGTATGTTTACGCCTTCCTCTTTCTTTTTGTTTCCGTCCGAGCTCGTGCAGAAACAGATAATGAATTTAGATAATGATAAAGCAAACGCTACAGTACGCGAAATAGTTGGTCCTGTCAAGACGCTAAATGTCAATATGCAGATAACCTCAAACTTAACCTAGATTAGTGGAGATATGATCGAGAATGCGGCCAGTAAGGCATTTATTAATCTGAGGCGATACAAACAAAAACAAAAGCCGCAAGCCGCGGCCATTATTCATTCTTGACTTTTCTTTTCTGGCTGCGCCGCGTCGTAGCTAATGATTGCCGTCCTGCAACAATTTCATCATTTGCTACTCTTCTCTCTTCTTTTTCTTGCGTTCCCTAACTTCTGCGACGTGCAGGTGCCGGAGAGTTTGACTCGCTAAACGAGCAAAATAAAATTTAAATATGACCATGATTTCACGCTCTTGCGTTGTTAATTAGCTTCTCAATAATAAATGTTATTGCTTCGGTGATTCTCATAAAATCTTAGTCAATGCTTCACAGGCATCCAACTGTTGTCATATGAAAAACACGAGGATTGGATCTATCGACAAGATCAAATTGCTCCTGTTTTATATTGTTAGTTAGTGGGTTTCGTGGTTCTATTTTTTTAACATGGAATCGACCCATTCGCCAATAGAACAATCAATTAACTTTGGAAAAGCACCACACATATATCGCTATCACCGTTATATTTATATATCGTTTTCCTAATGCGAACTGATTCAACTTTGCAGAGGTTTTACGTATGGATATGAGCCGTGTGGGGATGGGTTAGTTTTCCTAACATATGTCGCGAATCCTAGAGAATCGGAAGGGAATCCCAATTGCGTTTCCTGATGCGTTGCATGAGCGTCTCTCGTAGAGCGTGTCAAGGTCGTGGACGTGGAGCAACTGGGAGAGAGAGAGAGAGAGAGAGAGAGAGAGAGAGAGAGAGAGAGAGAGAGAGAGAACGGGCAACGAAGAAGGAAGAGACGGTCGGCCGGCACCGTGGAAGGGAAAATGATTGGTCATCAGTCATCGGACTGGTTCCGTCGTTCGTAGATATCGTAGCGCTGGAGTAAAGAGCCGGCGGCGCGTTGGCCAGCAACCTACTAAGCAGCAGCAAGAGCAGCAACGGCAGCAACGGCAGGAACAGCAGCGGCACGCAGTTCCCAGTGGACAGTGAACAGTGCAAGTGGACAGTGGGAGAGTCTCGCTAATCACAAGTTGCCTCTACTGCAATTACTGGCTCTCAGTCGTTAATATTAATAATATTCACAGGCTCAGTGATCCTTGCGCGTTCCTTTAGCGCGGAAAAAAACAAGAAAAACTGAGGACACTGAAAAGTGCCTGAAACTGGTTTTCTGGCGAGGCAGCTCGCGCTCGTCCATGAACGTGAAAAAGAGGACAAAACGAAAAAGATATTCCTCGCATCAGCAGGACTAGAGACTCTTGACGGTCAACGTGGGTCCACCACCACCACCACCACCTCCACCACCACCACCACCACCACTTTTACCACCACCTTCATTCCACTTTGATTCTTCGAGGAGTCATTTCTCGGTTCTCGGTTGGTCCTTCTTGGGCACTTTAGTCACACTTCGCTTTAGTTTACGTTCCTACGGTTCCACGTCCAGGACAAAAGTTCCGGAAGTGCAGAGGGGAAGGTGCTCTTCTTTGCGTGACGGTAAGCGGTATTCTTAATTTTAATGGATGCGAGAAGGTCGAGCGTACAGTCGTGACACGAAGGTCACTCTAGAAAGAGGAGACATTAATCGAAGTTTGCTGCGCGCTGCTCAGCGGAAACGAAGTAAACGCACCCGGTGAACGTTAATTTGAGAAAATTATGGCCGCAGCGAGAACGAGCCGCAGACGTGACATTCGCGAAGATTTCATTTGATTTGATCGTCGCGTAATTTTGCTTCTTAATGATGGGAATGCAAAGAAGTACCGATGGTCTGGAATAATTGATCGAAAACTTAATCAATTTTCTTTTCGTAATTTTCGTCCGATTGAGCAAAATTGTAAGGTTTGCCATGGCGGCGTCATAATATTTCTTCTGGTTAACGAGGAGGCTCGTTCTCAGCGAATGCGTATCGATAGGCGAAGGAGGGAATTGGGTGGGTCGAGTGCGGCCGTGCGGCCCTGCGGCCGCTCGTGACGTCGTCGCGCATTCGCCTCGCGCGCAAAATTGACTCGTCAAAAGAATTCATAGCTCCGTGGGAACTGATTGCGAAAGAAGAAAGGCAAAATGGGCGCATGTTTTCCACGCATACGGGCAACGTGCTTATGTGCTTCATGCTTTATGTAACGTGACTCCTAATGAATTTGTATTATAGATTTCCGAAGAGCAGGAGAGACGGCGAGAGACGGCGAGAGACGGCGAGAGACGGCAGGATCCTCATGAACGATTAGCGGCGTTTAAGAAGGAGAGGAAGAAAGAAAGAAAAGAAAGGCAGCCGAAAATGTATCAGAGGGCAGTGCTGGTTAATCTGCCAAAGTCGCAGTCGATCGACATTAAATTCTCAGACGTGGAGTATCGGGTGGCGCAGGGATTCCTCGGCGAGAAGAAGAAGATTCTTCATGGCGTCGATGGATGCTTCAAGTCTGGCGAGCTGTCGGCCATCATGGGCCCATCCGGGGCTGGCAAGTCGACCCTCTTGAACATTCTCACAGGATTCCGGCGAAAGAATCTCGGGGGCAAGATCAGCTACTTGGGAAGCGACGGCGGGGAACACCAATGGAACGTCTACAAAAAGGAGTCCTGCTACATCCAGCAAGACGATCAGCTGCATCCTCTGTTCACGGTGGCCGAAGTTATGCACATGGCGGCGGAACTTAAGCTCGGGAGCAGCCTCAATCGAAAAGCCAAGCAGATCCTGATAGACGACATTCTGGACAATCTCGATCTCTCGAAGACGAAGGAGACGCGATGCGATCGACTGAGCGGCGGCCAGAAAAAGAGGCTGAGCATCGCCCTGGAGCTGCTGGACAACCCGCCGGTGATGTTCCTGGACGAGCCGACGACGGGCCTCGACTCCTCCTCCTCGATGCAATGCGTCGCGATGCTCAAGAGCCTCGCCAGGGGCGGCAGGACGATCGTCTGCACCATTCATCAGCCCAGCGCAGCGATTTACGAGAGCTTCGACTTTGTCTACCTGCTCGCCGAAGGTCGGTGCGTCTACCAGGGCGCCGCACGCAACACCGTCGCCTACTTCGGGAATCTGGGCCTTCGGTGCCCCAAGTACCACAACCCAGCCGACTACATGCTGGAAGTCGTGAACAAGGAGTATGGGAACTTCAACGAGCAGTTGGCAATTGCCGCGCAGCAGGACGACTGGCGCGACGTGCCCGGCGGCATCACGAAGAAGAAGAGTGAGATCTCCCGGCGCTATAGCGACGACGGGAAGACCACCGTCCTCGTGAGCTCGCCATCCGAATTCGCGAGGTTCTGCATCCTCCTCAATCGCTGCATCGTCCAGCTGTATCGCGACTGGACCGTCACCCATCTCAAGCTGATACTTCACTTCCTCGTTGGCGTCCTTCTCGGGCTGTTCTTCGTGAACGCCGGTGGCGATGGCTCCAAGAGCCTCAACAACGTCGGCTACCTCCTGGTGACCACCGTCTACCTCTGCTACACGAGCATGATGCCTGCCGTCCTGAGGTTCCCATCGGAGCTCCCAGTCCTTCAGAAGGAGCAATTCAACAATTGGTACCAGCTGCGCACTTACTACGCAGCCTTCCTCGTGGCCAACCTTCCCGTGCAGATGCTCTTTGCGATGGTCTACTCCTCGGTCTCGTACTTCCTGAGCAGCCAGCCTCTCGACTGGAACAGATTCCTCATGTTCCTCGTGATTGCGATTCTCACGACATTTATAGCCGAGAGCATCGGCCTGATAATTGGAACCACCCTCAACCCCATAAACGGAACCTTCTTCGGCGCCATCACCACCGCCACTCTTCTCACCTTTGCCGGATTCCTCGTCCTCTTCAACCACATGCCCGTCTTCATGAATTACATTAGCTACCTGAGCTACCTGCGCTACTCCCTCGAGGGACTGGTGCACTCGGTCTACGGATTCAATCGCGAGAAGCTTCCCTGTCCGCAGGAGCTCGTCTATTGTCATTACCGTGTACCCGAGACCATCCTCGCTGAGCTTGCCATGGCCGAGAATCACTATTGGCTCGACGTCCTCGTTCTCTTCCTCAATTTCTTCGTCTTCCGATTAATTGCCTATTGCACTCTGAAGAGGAAGTTGTCCTACGCCTGAGACCCCGCAGAGCCTGTCTCTATCCATCCCTGTGTTCCTTTTATCCATATCGTTCCTGCATCTACCGGTGCTCCTCTTCTTTCTTACTTCACCAACGAGTAATCCCCGGGACATCTCGCATTGGCAGGCTGGCAGGTTGGCAGGTTGGCAGGTTGGCAGGTTGGCAGGATTACTCTCGGGCACGTTGCACGGTTGTAATGGCATCAGGCTTGCGACAGCACCGGGCCGTGAGCTGTGAACGGCAGCATGGCAGCATACGTCCAGCCGCGACACGTGTCCTTCGGAAGCCGGTTTTTTCTCTTTTCCTGCAGGTAACGAGGCATTCGGCATCCGACGAGGAGATTGAGCGTCGCGGCGTCCACGGACGTCAACCTTCGAAGAAAACAAATTGTAGCAACCGAGTCTTTTGGCGGTTCGGCACGTAACGTAGATCTCTGGGCGACTTTCGACATAGTGGAATCTACATGGAACTTGACGTCGTGTAGCGCTCAAGGTTGGCTAGTGACATAATCCACGTCACACGCTCGTAACATTCACCAAATCGTCAGAGTGTTTTCTATGGTTGCCTCGTGAAAGCAATCGCTTCAAGAGATCAGCCATGACTGTGCACGATGATGGACGAGAGTGTCATTGTGTCGAGAAACCAGAGAGAGAGAGAGAGAGAGAGAGAGAGAGAGAGAGAGAGAGAGAGAGAGAGAGAGAGGGGGGG